TAAATAGTTAATTCGGTATTTTTTAAAATCGTAATAGTATAGAGTGCTGCCTAGTGTTTTCTAGCAAGGTAAAATGGCTCCTTTATTTGAGGAAATAAATATTCGATGGGTTTAATTGATGCAATAAAGCATGAAACACTGAGAACACGAGAAACTATCCGTACTTAGGTGTTTGAGAAGAGAAAAAAAAAAAACGTGGTAAATTCAAGGTGGCTAGCGCGATTAGGGTCGAACCCACGACCGGTCGTTGGTTCCACCCTATTTCAGGAAGAAAAGTAAATTATTAGTACAAGATTCTGGTTACTAATTAAAGTATTTTTGAACGATTTATTCTCTTTAATTTAAGGTACTAAATGTTTTACTCATTTAATTGATTTCTCATGCTATTAAATTATTTTTTTTAATAATTATATTTATACAAAAGTTAATTTTATTTACTTTCTATAGGGAACAACTTCGTTCTTATGGTCAGGTCATAATACCTTATCTAAATATAGTAATTAAATATTTATGTTCATTACTTTACGAGAGAACTAAATAAATACTTCCTTCCAATTCCCAAACCCGATATAACGTTGCCTCATTAATAAACCTTTATGGAAAATTTTTATAGGTATTTTTAGGATTTTCTAAATATATTTAATGGCGTTACATTGAATATTTTTAGAGGACATTTAATATACTCCCACTCTATTGGAACCAAGACTCGTTACAAGGAAATATAGTATCTAAACATGTGTTTTCTTGATTTTCGTGGTGATTATTTGTATGTTTTCTTTATTCAGCTTTCAAATATTGGTTTTTTCTCCCCCTCTCTCTCTTTTAATAGGTAGTGAAGGTAATGGAATTCTTCACAGATCTTATTACAAAACTCATTTACTCTCACTTTACTGAATGCAGAGGCTCATAGACTTTTTATAATTCTTTTTCCAACGAGTCGACAAACAGACAGACATTATGACAGATCTATACAGCACCACTCTAATATACTGCTAATGAATACTTACAAATGATTCGTTCTGTGTCACACATCACCAAATCATGTGACTTTAAAACTTCTGTTCGCACCTCTTTATATCGTTTTTATTATTCGAATGACTTCGATTTAACGCCAACAAAAACATTACGAATTAATATAATATTTTTTTTTAATATATAAAAATATGATTATAAAATTGGATAAACTCTGAACAACGGACACTGACGAGAACATAAAAGCACGGTCGTTGTTAGGAGGTTGTTTTGTACGAATTCCTCAGTGAATGCCATTATTTTCAGGTGTCTATTATTAGAAATTTGACTGGTTTCGAATGATAAACAAGTCAGGAAAACTGAATATATTTTGAATTCAGTTGACGACTATGCATACAAATAGATTGATATTGCTGAATAGTTATAACACATACATAAGAAAACCATTGAGAAATAGTAGTAGACCTCATAAACAATCTATAAATAACCTCTATTCATTTCTATATTTTAACACAAAAGTATTAGAAAATATTTATAATTTTAATGCTGTTAATTTATTCAAAAAGCACAAGGAGAACTGTCTGTTGGAAATTTCTATAGGATGGAAAACTGGCCACTATTTAGGTGTTACAAACGTAAAGAAATCCCGAAAAATTCACTTGATTAACACGCTGGAAAGGTGCGAACCCACGACCAGTTGGTCGTGGGTTCGC